CCTAAACATCCGTGTCTCAGAGGACAGTAGCTGTACAAAGAGAGCTCTGTGTGCTGACAGGCAGGACAGAGCCTGCAGACAGACTGGGGGAGGAGGAGGCTGAGATCATGTAAACACTGCAAAGGTAAGAGATGTTGGACCAAGGCACGAAGCACGCGCCGGCAGGCGGCCAGTGACAGCTCCGGATGTCAATGCACAGGCACAAGGGGTTTCAAAGGAGAAGGCAGTGGAGCAGCACGTCTGGCAGAGGTGGGAGGTGGGCTTGTGGCAGTGTTGCTGCAGTGGAAGAACATGGAGATGGGATGTGGGAATACATGGCTGCAAGTGAACACAAAGCCCTGGTGCCACCACGTCCAGCCTCAGTACATTTGAACAGTTGTGCCTCTAGTTCAGCCCCAGCCCAGGATATGTGATATCTTTCCTAACCCTACTACAGAGGAGAGGCTTGTGAGTTGCCACTGTGGCTCCTGAACTGTGGTATGTTGGCCTCATGCTTTGCAGCAGGTGCCATGGTAAGAATATCTGAGTGCACAGGGCTCCATGGTCCCCTCTGTGGAGATGGGGCACAGCCAGCAGTGCACCCAGCTGTCCTGCCAGCATCACCCATGGCCCTCCAGCCACTGGCAGAGTCCAGGCAGCACCATGCTCTTGCTCAGACAAGATCTTTCTGTGCAGGTACAGCTAAGATGACATCCTTGGTGCCTGCCCTCAGTGTCAGCATCCCTGGGGCCCCTGTGAGTCAGCACTCAGTCCCCTCTGCCTGGAGCACTGCCAACCCCTGAGCAATGATTTCCAGTGCACGCGGCCAGGTTGTGTGTCAGGAGGATTAATGACAGAGGCTTCTCAGGGCTTTGAGATCTGGGTCTAATTTAAAACCAAAACAAAACTTAGAATTTTCGGAGCAGGGGAGTTGCTGTCCTGGGGCAAGCCTGGGATGAAGCTCGTCGCATATCCGATCTTGCAGAAACATGTGCCAGGACCTTCAGAGAAGGTACAAGCAAACACCTGGTACACAGGAAAAACCCAGCCTCCCAGGGGTGCTTTCTTCTTTGTCTTTTGCTATTAGTCATTAGCTTATGCTCCGAAGCACATGGCCTTATCTTCCCTCCAGGCATCTTCCTTTTATCTACCTTGACTCATGGAGCTACAGAATCTTCTATGAGCTGCGTAAATGTCAGATCTTCTTTAAAATCTTACAAAACTCTCTGCCTCGTTGTATCTTACGGCAGTGAGTTCCACATATAAATCATGTGCTGGTGTAAAAATGAGTTTCTTATCAGTTTTTAGCTTTCACTCTTTGGATTTCACCGTCTGTCCCAGCAGGGCTTTCACTGTTGCATGAGGGATGGACACTCAATGCAGAGTGAGCTGGCTGCCAAGATGAACTCTGTTTTTCCCTGACTTTTTCTGGTAAAGGGCTTAAAGCTGGTGACTGGAAGAATTTGACAGCAAAACTCCTCTGCAAAAAGTCTTCAGCAACTTTCTTGCTGGAAAGAAGGGCTGGCAGTGGAGCAGGTCCGCATGCCAGAGGGATGGGAAGTTCAGGCTGAAGATGTCTCCCAAGGCAAAGGCTTGGGGTTGTGCCAGGTTGTGGGAGGTGGAGGTTTGGGAAAGGGCTGCAGGGCTCAGCCAAGGACCAAAGGAAATGTGGAACAGGGGAACGTTTGTCTTGATTTAATTTGACACTTAAACTGAAAGAGTGTGATTTGTAGCTGTGCACATTTAAAAAGCTCCTCGAGATAGGGAAGTGGAGGCAATAGCAGGTTTGGATGCCAGATCAGATAACACCCTGTGGGTAATGCCTCTACCTTACTCATTTTTATTCAGATTTATCTCCACACTCCTAAAAAACCCAATGGCTTGAAATTCTCCACTGCTGACTCTATTTCCAATATCTCATTAACTGTGAGGCACCTGAACCCCATGTGACATTCACTGTTGTATTGCCTTAGCCTGGAACAGCTCTCCCTGGCCCTGCCTTCACATGTCCAAAGGCAGTTTGGTGTCCCGATCTCTACTGAACACCAAGCTCTGTGTAGTGATGTATTTGAGCAGCTTGGACTTGGAGACTTGATGGGACAGAGCCCCAGAGGTGATGGAAGGGGGTCCTGCAGGAACCTACGGTGTGCAAAATCCTGGTTACTGTGTGTTAGATGATCCATACATATCCTAATATAGGGGCTGATCCTTGCAGAACGTGGAGGGAACAGTATTGGAAAGACCATTGAAGGTTCTGCTCACCAGGCCCTGTTGCTTGTGCAGCAGAGACCAGAGCAGATGCCTCAGGGCTCTCTGATCTGCATGGGAGCTTTGCTGGGAAGAAGGGAAGCAGGCACAGCCTGGGCATGTGGAGGCATCACCGAGGAATGTGCCCACACCCTCCGCAGGGCACATCGCAGGGTGCTGGCATGAGAGCCCACAGAGAGTGATTCCAGCAGCCAGCTCCTGAGATGGGCCCTCTGCAGGTACTGGAGTAGCTGCTGGAGCACACACAGACTCATGTAAGTGCTGGCCAGGATGAATGCGTTTGGCACTGACCCTAATCCTTTCCTGCCAATACACTGATTGGAATTGAATTTCCAATATGAACAGTCGTGGGACTCTATCTGCAAGCTGGCGAGGAGAGCTATAGATTTTTATCATGTGTTTCACAGCTATTTCTTTAATTTAAAAAAAATAATGGGAGTGACTGCTGAAAACACTTCAGCAGCCAAACAGTCGTGGTGGCGTTGGGCAGGGCAAGACGTGGCTGGATTTGACCTGGGAAGGCAAGGAGGGAGCAGCAGCTGCCAGAGCTACAGCCCAACACGAAGGCAGGAGCAGCTCAGCCCCTGCTGGGTTTGTAGGAGGTTTCTCAGCCCCTCTGGGATGGAGGGGATGCTCATTCCCGATGGGTATTATGGCCAAAAGGAGCTTGTTCTCCCTGAAGATTCAGCCCGTTGTTTCTCACTCTTCCTCCCAGCAGGGTCCATCCACCTGAGGGACATTCCCTCTCCTTCCCCAGGGGATGCCTGACCCCAGCCAGGCAACCACACCAAGGCTTTGCAGACTTCTGGCAGACCTCACTGACCTTGGCCAGCTTTCACTGTTCATTTCCCACTCTATTACAGGACAGCACCCAAAATAGGATCTATTCACAGGGGTGACTCTGGCAGGGCTGGGGAGGGTGCTGGAGGCAAGATGTTCTTTTTGTATCTCCCAACAATACTCCTTTTTTAATCTTTTAATCTTTTTTTTTGTCGCAGTACAAGGCTCCTGCCTTGTGTTCAGCCTGCAATCCATTACATCCACCAGTTCTTTCCTGCAGAGCAGCTGCCTTGCCAGCTTCTCCCTGTATTTATTTAGGCTTCTTCCCCTCTGCCCTGTATTTGTTCAGTTGAACCTTGCACTTGTCTTGGTGAACACCCTCCTGTTTTTCCTGGCTCTCTCTCTGATTTATGAAGATCGTTCTGAGCTCTAATCCTGCCTAGATGAGTTGCCTGAGCATTCCTGGCTCTGGCAGGAGGCACGAGTTCTCCAGCAGGTGACAAGAGGTGATTTTTGTCCATGCACATATTAAGGACAATCAATTCCTCTTCCTTTGACCCTTTCCACTCTCATATCTTTAACAAGACTGGTCCATGTGTGGCAAATACCCAGGGAACGCTCCCAGGGATTAAAAAAAAATAAAGATAGGCAGCATGCCCAGGGGAAGGCAAACATCCTAGAGATGCTGGGAAAGGGGAACAGTGTGACACTGCCCTGCAAGAGCCTCCCCTCTGCCCCTGTTGTTATTGCTGCTCCCTTTTTTGTCCTGAGCAGTTTGCAAATATTTTCAGTCCTGCAGGTTGTTTCCATTAAGAGGGAAAAATCAATGAAGCAGCCAAGAGTCTGTGGCTGAGCTTGTTCTCTGCTAAAAATGGACCAAATGCCTCTTTCCTGAGTGCAACGGGGTGGGTTTGCCTTTTCCCAGCTCTGACCCCATCGCTTCCCGAAAGCTGCTCCGTGTTCCGGGCCTCCCTGCCTTGGAGCTGCTCTGGCTTCTCCTCCCTCAGCCTGAGCCCAGCCCCAGCGCTCATCCTCGGCTGGGGCTCAGCAGCTCCTGCTAATGGGAGAAGCATTCCTGTCATTTCATCAAGTCGCTTAATAATTTGCCAGAAATGCCTATTGATTTCTTGCACGCTTCTGTGCAGACAGAGGTAAATAAGAGCCATTTGTCATTGCATTATGTATCGGTAATTAAAAATTACTAGGTAACTTGAACCAAAAATTGAATAATTTGAAGTAAAATTAAATAATTCTAGGTAATCAGTACTAAATGAGACCATTATTTTACTTATCAGTGACTAAAAATTACCAGGCATTTTTCCTCATTTGGATGCTCTCCTTCGCCCTCCGTGTCAGTAGAGCCTTTCTAATTTGTTTTAATTGTTAATTTTAATGAGTAGTGTTTTTCTGATAACATTTTAGCATGTTTTGTTGTTTTAGAGAGGGTTTTTATTGCATTGCACAAAGCCTGAAGCACCTCAATGTGGGAGCAATTTGGAAGCTAAATTATTATTATTTATTTAAATCAAACCCTCCAGCCTCTTTAACCGTTTGGCTGATTCTGTAATTGCAGTACCAGTGTGATGGAAATGCTCATGGGGCTGGCAAGGAAGCGTCTGGGTACTCTTCTCAGCTCTGTGACCATGGCATATCCCCAGCCACTGGTTCTGCTTCCTGGGAAGATTTTTTGGATCCAGAGCTGTGCTGTTACTCCAGGTTTGCCCGTTTGGAGGCACCTGGAGTAGGACACGAGTAGAAACCTTCTGTTTCAGGGTCTCGTGCCATCCATGGAATAAGCAAAATTTGGGGGTATGCAGCAAAGCACCAATTTCAGCTCAGTTTTTATCTGGTTGTGGCAGCAGGGCAGGGTGCAGCTGGGGCTGAATTGCTTTTGGAAAGGGTGGTGCTTCTTTGATGTGAAGTCACAACAGTCCTTAGGTCAAGGGCATCTATGATGCTCTTTGAAGCTCTCTCCTGTCCCTTTGCTGCCGTGGCCAGTGGGGCTGTGTGGGTGCACCATGCCCCTGGGGCCCCTGAGACACTTCATGGCTCCAAGAGGCCACCAAGACTCACCAGACTGTGTCCAGTTAAAAATCTTCAGATAGCTCAAGGTGAGCTGTTATTCCCAGGGACTTCTGACCCTTATCTGCATCCATCCCCCTCCTGCTGCTTTCCAAGGGACCCCCTGTGCTGGCAGGGGAGAGCAGGGTGGGATTGGGGCAGCACTGCTGCATTCCTCCTGCCCTGTGAATCTTGAAGAGATCCTGAGGCAGATCAGCCTGATCCCCCTTGAGCCTCCCTTCCCTGCAGGGAAGGCCTGGACCTCCATGGTCTCTCCATTGTGCCTGGCAAGGGTTTGTCACCTCCCTGCTCCATGGCACAATGTGTTTGTGCTCTCAGACAGAAGGATGCTGGCTCACTTTGCCGCTGCTGGGTCGCATTACAGTCCCCTGTCTGTGACAATTTGCAACGCGCCATCGCCCCGGGCAGCAGGAGCTGCTGCAGATGCCTTTTACACACGGGTCAAAGCCCGGGGAAACCCTGCAGGTATTCACTCAGCCTCTGCCTGTCCTGGAGGTGTTGAATGGTACAAGGCCATGGGGCTCCAAGGCTCGAGAGAGCCTGCTCGTGGGGGCTGGGGGTCTGTGAGCATCCTACCCTGGGCTGTTCTGTCCCTTAATGGCTGTTAAAGGGAAAAAAAATGTTGTCTCTTCTGTGGAGATGGAGGTTGTGAAATATCCTTATAATGTTCCTTTAGTGGGTGCCAGCCCTCAGCCTGTGCTAACCCCTGCTTTGTGTTGACCAAACAAGACAGCAGATGGAATATGCAAATAATTTGGGGATTATTTTTTTCTTTTTCTCTCCTTCAATAAGACCTTCTTCTCTTACCTTCTCTGAAGTCCTAGAAAATAACTGGTTGAAAAGCTTTGCCTGTTGCTGGTGTCAGGCCTGCCTCTTTTCTTAGGGTCGTGGTGCTTCCTTGGGGCTGAGCCTGGGAGCCAGAGCAGGGAATGGGCTGGATGGCTGAGGTTGGGAGCCTGGGGGTGGCTGCTGCAGCTGAGGAGCAGGGGAACTACAGGAGGGGAAGGATGGACTTGTTCTTGCAAGCTCTGCCTCTCTCCCATGTGCATGAGATGCCCTCTCAGCTTCCCAAACCCAATCAGTCCATTGCAATCTCCACAGTGGGCTGGGACTGCTGGGGAGATACCCGGACAAATTTCCTGCTGGGCTGTTGCAGGGCACCCAAGGAACCCCCAGAGTCTCGTGCCCACTTGCTCAAGCCAGTGGTCCCAGTCCCTGACCCAGTTGCCAGCCTTTGACCTCCGATGAGACATAGAAGTGCCAAATTCAGAATAAGTAGCCCCAGATCTCTGGGGTGCCTGGTGGGGGAGGTACCAGGGGTCTGGACAGGACGTTTTGTTGAGGTCTGCCAGGAGAGGCTGCTCCCTGCCTTGTACCTCTCACACCCAGGAACAGTTTTGTGGTACTTGGCATTCATCCCCCTACGCTTAATTTCATCCCATTTAGACCTAGTAAAAAATATTCCCTGCAAGCAATTTATTCAAGAAATGTAGCTGGCACTTTCTGTTGCTGAGTTGTCCAGGAAGAGACCACAACTTTTAATGATTTTTTTCCATTCAGTGAATGCTCTTTATGGCAGTATTTGAGCTCAGGGTTGTTCATGAATGGCAGTATAGTAAAAAAAAAAATATCCGGTGGTCTATCTGACTGCAGTTTGCTATTCACGCTGCGAGGCCGGGCACCTTATCGCACAAAGTATTGTTTCTCTCCCCTGAATAGGAGCTCTCGTCTCCCTCAACTACCTCCACTCCTACCCAGAACAAAATTAATTTCATCCTGCAACAAATCTGGCTGCTTGATTAAATGAATCTGTTGCCGGCCCTGAAAGATATCTCAGTGAGCAAAATTTCATTTCTGGTTGAACACCCACTGAGGAAGCCACAGATACAAGTGGGTGGCTCCCAGAGGAGCTCAGAGCTGTATTTACAGTGCTAACCCGCTTCTGATCCCCCCCAACTCCTGTTTGTAATGCCCTGGAAGGCAGCTCCTGGTGGTGTGGAAATACCCTGGGCACCTCATCACGCTCTCCCAACCCCAATGCCTGCTTCTGGCTGAGGCCTAGTCAAGCTTGGCAAATTGAGCTCTTTTAATTTTTCCTTAGAAACCAATCCCTTGAGCCCTTTTTTTCTGTGGTAGGAGAAATATCACCCCCCACGTTAATTTCTCTGCAATATCTTGGTGTATGTACTCTGAAGCCCTGAGTGTGTTGCTGAGCCTGGGGTTGGAGGTGTGATGCTGCTGGCATTGCATCCTCATCCTTTCCCAGCTCCTAAGCCTCTGTTACACACAGACACTGACTACTCCTGTCGCCATCCCACTCATTGGTTCTGCCTTGTTTCCAGGCACTGAAACCCTTTTTATTCTGTCTGATCAAGACAAACATAGGGGAGTACTCACGGCCGCTTGCCCAGGGAGGGGTTTGCCAAAACTGTCCTATTCTGGAGCGTTTTTATAGTAACTGTGTGATGAGGAAAAGATGGTGAGGGCTCACCATTCTAATTAGGATCATTTCTGTCTTGCAAGAGGGATTGGCGGGGAGTATTTATGGATACGAGTAGGTTCAGAAAAATTCCTAGCACCATCTGTTTGAGAGAGAACAGGAAGAATTTCAATATGCTTTAGACCTTGAAGTGTAATGTTTGTATAACAGGCTCATAAAATCAATTTCTAATAGTTACAGGTACCCCCTCAGGAATTTAAATAGTCTGTTAACAAAGTTATTCCATCTGCCAAGCAAATATATTAAATATGCATGTTCCATGCTACATATATGGTTGCATGTGCCTTTCTCCTGCATGACATGCCCTTGGATCCTGTGTGTCGGTTTTGCTTCTGGGTTACACTCGGTTTTTCCTGATGGCAGCTCAGTGTTTAGTCCCAACTCAGTGGGAGCTCACTCACCTGCCTCTGGCCTGATAATTCACTGTTATGGTCACCTTGTTCTTTGGGAGCTGAGTGTGGGGGTTGCTCTGTCCTGGTCCCCTTCCCATCTCCTGCTCAGCTACCCTTGGACTGTCTGGGTGGAGAGAGCTGGCCACAGGGGTTATAGAAGGGTTATAGGGAACAGAGGGATCTGAATTTGCAAACTGAGGACATGCATGGGGCAGGATAATCCTTTCACGCCCATTTTACAGACATTTTAAACTGGTGCTGCAGCCTGGATAATGGGCCAGTTGCATTTTGCTATGCTCCTTGCTCCCCCATGGCACCTCACTTTTCCATTACCCTTTGGATCCATCAGTGCCCTGCTTGGTGCCAGAACTCCAACTGCCTTGTATGTTTGGGATCGGGCTGACAGCTCGGGGCATATGCAGGCAAACTGCAAATATGTCATCCTGTTAACTAAACAGTTTGCATTTAACGCTGCCCGTGGAGCTGAACAACACCTCGCCAGTTCTGCAAAGGTTGTGTTCTCAGTGTGATCGGGAGTGATTTATGGCGAGAGTTAGGCTGTGTGTCCAGAATATCGATGGAGGCGTTTGCTGCCTATTGTGTTTAATAGCTGTTGGGGTCCCTCTTTTTACCATTGTGTCATTTGCTGCCTGCCAGCCTGTGCAGGTCTGGGAGCTCGTCTGTCTGGGCAGAGTTATTGATTGCGGCGTGCTTGGAGCCGCTGCTGGCTGGGTGCTGGCAGTGGGTGCCTCTTCCAAACAGCTGCAGCAGGCATGGCACGTGCTGGCCACTGTCCCCAAGTCCCCTTGTCCACCTGCTGCAGCATCACCTCGGGGGAGGTGCTCTGCCCTCCCCTCCCCACCCTGTATCAACAGGAACCAGACTGAAACTGCTCTTTGCTGGGGAGTGGAGCTGGAAGGCAAAATCTGCACGGTTTTAATGGATTTACCCTCTCCACCCAGAAAGCAGATGAGGCACAGGAACCCCATGGGATTCACCAGCAGGCAGGCAGGAGCTATCCTGGAGGGAAGAGGCAAAACCCCTCACGTCTGAGGCGTGCCGGGAGACTGGGATTTCCTTCTGATGATGATTTCTTTGTGCTAGGCCGTTTATTCTTCTTTTTTAATTTAAAAATCCACATTCCCACTTCCACATAGCTCGTTATCTCAGGGTGTGTGATGAGGTGTCCAGGGGTCTGTCCCGGCAGAGATGATGCAGAACACATTCACGCGGGCTGTTGGATCTGACCCCCCTCTCCCTCGGGGAGCGGGTGGTTTTCATTTCTGCCTCTTCCATTAGAAGCTCTAAGGCGAGCTCCATCTATTAACTGAGAACTGCAGGCCTGTAAATTTTGGCAAGAAAAGGTCCTTGGAAGCAAATAATCTGTATTTTCTCAGGGTTGTTTGTCCTCTTTGCATGTGCAGCCTTTGCTGGTCGGGAGGCAGGTACTGCCACTGACTCCTTCTCCACATGTGCAGATTGATGGTGTCTGCTCCAGAGCCTGCTCCCTCTTCTCTTTCTTTCCTTCTCAGTTTTGTTCCTTCCCTTTTGAGCTGTTTCTGCTTTGCTTAGGAGACTCCTTTATCTGCCAAGTCCTGATGTGTATCTGTTCATTTCCTAGGGCAAACACATTGATCTGTGATTTCTGTTATGATACTGCAGATTTCTGTTCCCTTTATTCTTTTTTTTTTTTATACTTTATCCTGCCATCCAGGAGGTGGTTTCTGCGCTATGGAGAAGCTCAGTGTTTCTAGAAAAATGTGTGTTTCCCTGCCTCAGAGCTGTGCCTAATTGCATACAGAGCAAGCGTCCATCCCTCTTAGTTCCAGTGTAATTCTTTGCGGTGTGTTCCTTTGTGATTGTGTTATTCCAGCAATAACAGCCGCTCTCCTTCCAGATATTTATTCTTTTCATGAACATCACCATACTGGCAAAGGGTTGGGCTTTTTTTTCCATCTTAATGCTCTACTTCATAGCTCAAATCAGGGATTTATGCTTCAGGGATCTCAGAGAAGGCTTTCCTCTTTTCTGCTACATCTTTCCAGAAGCGCCATCTTTCTGTGCTGGGATTTGGAGTTCTTGGACATGTGTTACTGCTGCCGGGGATGCTGCTCTCTGCTTTTAGATTTGTATTTAC